TCGACTGAGGCATAATACATGGCATTGACCCATGCTAGCAAGGAGCTATGTGGCTTCGAAGATTGGTTTAGAGCTTGGTTTCAAGCTTGATGCTGTGAAGATTGGGTGTCACAATCAAGGGCTATTTACTTAGCCAGAACCTGCCTTTCATTCGCTATCAAACCGCATTGACATACAATACCATTTCATCAGGCAAAAGGTGGAGGAAAATTGGTGTTGTTAGAGAAGGTTGATACACTTGTTAATGCTGCAGATTTTCTTACAAGGCTATGAGCTTAGCAAAGTTTACATGGTGTGTTGATGAGGTAGGATTTCATTGTGTGAAGTATTCGCCAAGTGGGAGAATATTGGAGTTGTCGACTACTTCAGCATTAATGGGTAACGCAGACGCTTCGAGGGTCCCGTAGCGTTTTTGGGCTTTTCCAAGTATACCGCGTTGGATTTCTTTAAGTTACTAATTCTTATTGGGTTGGCTTAGGATATGAATCCTTGTAAACTAGCTTTAGTCTCTTAAACCTATGTATATAACATATTGTTCTCTTGTTATGGATGTGATAGCAATCATAGGGCAATTTAGGGTGAGCACGGGTAGCGGGTAGAACCGGAACCGAGGGTAAAACCAAACCGAACCGGAACCTACCTAGAACCTGCACTGTGCGGGTAGGTTACGGTTCCAATTTTTTGGAACCGCTACTGTGCGGTTCCGGTTCCGGTTCTTACCCCCGGAGAACCGGAACCAAACCGGAACCTGTAAAAAGGGTACCTGTTTGGAACCTGTTTTGGAACCTGTTTGACCTGTTTTGGAACCTGTTTTGGAACCTGTTTGGAACCTGTTTTGGAACCTGTTTTGGAACCTGTTTGGAACCTGTTTTGGAACCTATATGGAACCTGTTTTTGGAACCTGTTTAGAACCTATTGAACCTGGACTATAATGAAATATTTGTGAAATTAAATAATGGGGAGTTTCTATTATTTTATATAAAAAAATTTAAATAGAAAAAGTTAATTTTTAGAATACCTAATTAAATACTATACAGACAATTATACTTATTACTATAATTACACCATATTAAAAGCTTTATATATTATATACATTAATATTAAAGTTTTGATCAATTAAGTGAATAATTGGAATTATGATCCAATTAAAGTGTTTTACATTTTTAATGTTATTAAAAGAATTATTTTTGATAAAATAGTATATTTGATTGATTAATAATATATTTAGTTATTTACTTCAATTATCAAGTTCTAAGTATATCTATAATAAATTAGTAATTAATTAATTAATATGATAAATTGATAAACATTAATAAATTTAATTACTAGTTAGTATAATACTTAATCAATTATACTTACATTAGTTAAATGTACTTAATTAATTATAATTTTATAACATACTTAATTGATTTATAGTATATTTAATTATAGCATTACATTAATTAATTACTATTAATTAATTGACTTTATTATAACATTAGTACAAACTTAATTAAATGATTAAAAATTTAATTAATTATAATATTACAGTAAAATTTATAGTAGATTATTTAATAGTTAATTCACTATAACATTCCATTAAATATGATTATATAATTAATTATAACATTACATAATTAAATAATTACTTAATTGATTATGAGTTATGATATTATGTTTTAAACATTGTAATTACTTTTGCTACATAAACATTAGCACAATACTTAATTAAATGATAAGAAATTAACTATTATAACATTACCTTATAAACATTTCATTATAAACATTAATTAAACACTACATTATAGTTAAATAATTACTCAATTAAATTATAATATTTTATATCATTATATATTATGATCACTTACTTAATTATAGCATTACATAGTTAAATGATTATATAATTACATAATTAGTTATGAATTTATAACATTACATATAAACATTAGTAATTTCCTAATTTACTATTTATTCCATTACTTAATTAAACGATTAAAAATTTAATTATTAAAACATACTTTATATTTTGTAATAGATTACTTAATCAATTATAACATTCCTTATAACATTAGTATATTAATTAAATGATTTGAAATTTAATTAATTATAATATTAATTTAGATTTGTGTATGATTACTTAATTCATTTAACATTACATTATACTATTTATAGTATGATCATTAATTAATATAACATTACATAATTAATAATACTTAATTGATTATGAGTTATGATATTATATTTTAAACATTAGTAATTACTAATTTACTACTAAACATTAGCACAATCTTAATTAAATGATAAGAAATTTAATTAATATAACATTACCTTATAACATTAATTAAGCATTACTTATAGTTAAATAATTACTCAATTAATTATAATATATTATATTACATTATATTATGATCACTTACTTAATTATAGCATTATATAGTTAAATGATTACATAATTACTTAATTTTATGAATTATAACATTACATTATAAACATTAGTAATCTACTATACTATTACATTACTTATTAACGTTAAAATTAATTAATTATAACATTACTTTATATATTTGTAATATGATTACTTAATCAATTATAACATTCCATATAAACATTAGTTATTTAATTAAATGATTTGAAATTTAATTATTATAATATTAAATTATAGATTTGTAGTATGATTACTTAATTCATTATAACATTACATTACACTGTTATAGTATGATCATTTAATTACATAACATTACCATAATTAAATAATTACTTATTGATTATGAGTTATGATATTATATTTTAAACATTAGTAATTACTAATTTACTACATAACATTAGCACATACTTAATTAAATGATAAGAAATTTAATTAATTATAACATTACCTTATACCATTAATTAGCATTACATTATAGTTAAATAATTACTCAATTAATTATAATATTATATATTACATTATATTATGATCACTTACTTAATTATAGCATTATATAGTTAAATGATTACATAATTACTTAATTAGTTTGAATTTATAACATTACATTATAACATTAGTAATCTACTATACTATTACATTACTTAATTAAACGATTAAAAATTTAATTAATTATAACATTACTTTATATATTGTAATATGATTACTTAATCATTAACATTCCATAATAAACATAGTATATTAATTAAATGATTTGAAATTTAATTAATTATATTAAATTATAGATTTGTATTAGATTACTTAATTCATTATACATTACATTATACTGTTATAGTATGATCATTTAATTACATACATTCATAATTAAATAATTACTTAATTGATTATGAGTTTAGATATATATTTTAAACATTAGTAATTACTAATTTACTACATAAACATTAGCACAATACTTAATTAAATGATAAAATTTAATTAATTATAACATTACCTTATAAACATTAATTAAGCATTACATTATAGTTAATAATTACTCAATTAATTATAATATATTATATTACATTATATTATAATCACTTACTTAATTATAGCATTATATAGTTAAATGATTGCAAATTACTTAATTAGTTATGATTTTATAACATTACATTATAAACATTAGTAATTTACTATACTATTACATTACTTAATTAAACGATTAAAAATTTAATTAATTATACATTACTTTATTATTTGTAATATGATTACTTATCAATTATAACATTCCATTATAAACATTAGTATATTAATTAAATGATTTGAAATTTAATTATTTATATTAATTATAGATTTGTAGTATGATTACTTAATTCATTATACATTACATTATACTATTATAGTATGATCATATAATTAATATAACATTACATAATTAAATTATTACTTAATTGATTATGACATTATATTATAAACATTAGTAATTTACTAATTTGCTAATATTTAATCGAATTATTATAATTTTTATTATTATACATTATATTATAATTTTGGTATGATTATTTAATTAATTATAACATTCTATTATAAACAATATTATAATACTTAATTAAATGATTAACAATTTAATTAATTATATATACATATAATTAATAATATATTACTTAATTAATTATAACATTACATTTTACATGGTAGTAGATCACTAATTATTACATTACAATTTACATTGTATATGATCACTTATTAATTATAACTTACTTGTTTCTAATATTAAATTTACTAATTATATTTGGTATATTATAAATACCCAATTAACCAATTATACATTAAATTAATAAATTTAAAACATTAATAATTTATTAACTTATCAAATAGTCCCCTGGCAAATGGCAATGTTAGTAATTAGTATTAAGAATTGTTGTTGTTTAAATGATTTGGTGAAGTATTTTATGTGAATTATGATGAATAATTGTTTGTGTTTTGGTTTGATTGACGAATTTTGTGAATTGTGATGAATTGATTGAATTCAAGCGTTGCTTAGAGATTACGGTTATGAGTTACATTGGACACAATGAATGAATAACGAAAATTGTTAGGGGTGTATTTGTAAACTTTAAGTGTTTTTTGTTATTTTTTAAACTATATGGGGGTAATTGATTTTTTACAGGGACCCTGGAAAGGACCGGAACCTGCATTTTGGTTTCGGTTCCTGATTGAAGAACCTGTACTGTGCGTTCCGGTTCCGGTTCCTTTTTTTGGGAACCTGTACTGTGCGGTCCCGGTTCCGGTTCTCGGAAAAGTGCAGGGTACCCGGAACCGCTCACCCCTAGGCAATTCATTCATTGTAAACGAGAGAGGTGAGACATATTGCAATAATATTGACTCAGCTGAACGTAGTCCACATTTGGAACCAGGGTAAATCGCTCGTGTTATTTTCTTTGTTTACTGTTTGATTTGTTTTACTGTTATATTTTTGTTCCTGTTGTTGCCTCTATTTCGTTCAAATCTCAAATCACAATGCAGCTAACTATTTGATTGAATACATATGTGATATAGAGTTATTGGAAATACATTATATGGTTTGTCATGATTAATCAGACTTCATCTCATCATAAATCTTTTAAATTTTGAAATGAAGATCCACCTTCAACAAGACTCCTCCAGCCATTTCCTTCAGCTTCAATGAATTCGCTTTGATACCTTCATCACTCAGCATTTTTTCACCTTTCTTTGTATTTCTTGCCTTGCTCAGAATCCCATTTTCATCCAGGGTTAAATCTAAACCAATCTCCAAGCTTCACAAATATAATTTCTATTTTGATATTGATCCGCAAAGTAAGGCCAACACGAAATGGACTCCCCATGCTTAATCCTTCCATAGTTGAATTCCATCCGAATGACTTAAGAAACAAGCAACTGAAGAATGAGCTAAGACCTTTCTTGTGCTGCCCATTCAACGATCTTCCCCGGCCGGCATTCTCTCTTTAAAACCATCTGGGAACCGACATGTGATTCATCCACAAGGTCTGATCGAACAACCCACAAAAATGGCAGGCCTAAGGATTCAAGACCGAGCGCCAATTCCTCAAATTGTTGCTGATTTATGGTGTTTGTGCTGCCCAATGCAACATAAATAACTGAACCTATTGCTTGTTTGTCTAGCCACCTTAAGCAGGAAGAGTCCTCTGGAATTAAGCTTCCAGTTGAATTTCCTGAATGATTTCTTGCAAGCAATGGGCCAATGGGGAAGATTTTCGGAACCAAATCACAGTTCGATGAGTCAAGTTCATAGACTGAATTGGAAAGAACCCAGTTGGAAATTCTAACAGTTTCGTCAACACCAGTAAATAATTCTAATAACAGCTTTTCTATACCTGGTACACCAGGACAGCGCCAGGGATATTCGTTACTTTTCCAGGGAAGCGTTTCTTCTGATGGAGAGATCAACTCATTATTCATTAAATTTCCTGCATCAAATTCAATTAATTATAATTACAAAATACAAAACTAACATACAGGCATCAAATTCAATTAATTACATACTTACCATTAGAATCAGTAAGCTTTGTAAAATGAAAGGCAAAGGCCAAAGTGGGTGGTCCGTAAGGAACAAAAGCAGCTCCCGGAATTCCCATCTTGCGGGCAACTTTCAGAGCCCATCCGAGACAAATATCAGCAATAACACAAGTGATCGGCTCACAGGCGCCATCTGATTGGTTCATCTTCTCAATCAACTCCTTTAAATGACCTGGCATAACTCTAAACACACTCTCATTCATCTCAATTGCATCGTTCCGATCATCGCCTTCAAGTCCATCCGGAATCGAAACAAACTTCATCAAGCTCCCCTCCTCAGCTTTCTCCGGCCCTGAAGCCAAGATTTTCGCCTCCATAAATTCCGTGTTAACAAACGTGATCTTGATTCCGTGTTCAGAAATCTTTGTAGCCAATTTCAAAAGAGGTGCAACATGGCCCTGTGCTGGATATGGAATAAGCAGAAAATGAGGTTGACTCCCCATTACAAAGAGCTTTTCTTTTAAACTATAATCGCAACTTATATATATAATATCAGTTCCTTATATTCTGATCTGTTCATCAGAACTCAAGTCTTTGTGATGAAGTAATATATTGACATTTACGGATACCTAAAAGCTGGTAAGATTGACCATTAGCACTAGAATTAGTCTATGCTTTTGACTTTTCCATTACATATTTCTTGACGTTTTCGAAACATTTTTGTCCATTCTCTTGAATTAAAACAAACTTTAGCGGTCAAACTAAAAAAACTCATAGTGGATGAAATTAGAGGGTATTTTTTTTTTTTTTATAATTATTCTTTTCATAAGATTGAAAGACTTTAATTCTTTTAGAAAATTTAAACCTCAAATTACCATTCGACTTTTCAATATTGGGGGTTGGTTTGAAATTTGAATGGATCTATTCGAACTTTGGGTAGGTCTTTGATATGTGTATAATGTGTGTCTATATCTGTGTGTGTGCCTGTGTTTGCGTGGATGTGTGTCTCTTTGTATGTGTGTGCGTCTGTGTGTATATATGCGTGTGCGTGTGTGCATCTAGGGGCGGATCCAGCCCCTTTGAGGCCTACCCTCATATTTTTTTAAAAAAAATTGTTAATATATAGGACCCAAAAAATTACTATTAATATATATACCTAGGCCTAGGGGCGGATCCAACCCCTTTGAGGCACCCACATATATATATATTTTTTTAAAATTGTTAATATATAGGCCCAAAAAATTACTGTTAATATATATACCTAGGCTTACCCTCATATTTTTAAAAAGTAAGAACTGTTATACATATATCCAAGAACACAAAAAACTTGTTATTAATATGTATATTTCATGCCCACATCATATTAAAAGTTTAAAACTCTCTCCACGACTCTACCTGCTTTTTATGATTTTATCCCCAAAATTCTTCTCTCTCATTTTTTCTTTCTCTTTCTCATGCTATTTGCTCTTAAAACTTTTGAAGACTAAAATTGTTGAAGCTTTTACTACTCAAGGTGCCACGATTAGCTCTGTTTTCTGTTTTATCTGTTTCAGGTATATGTATTGCTCCTTTCAATTTAGTTTATTTTAGGGTTGAATCATGCTTGTTTTTTGGAGGGTTTTTTCTTTCTTGCTTTCTTTCTAATTTGATAGAAAAGTGCATGGTTCTTGTGAGTTTGTTTTGTGTTTTGTGTCTAAAAATGTTCTTGCTTTCCCAAATTAAACATTAACTATATTTTACTAGACATTATTCTTCATCATTGACCCACCACTTTCCTACATTTCAAATGTCACCGTTTAGCTGCTTAAAATTATTAAAGAAATTTGAGTTACTATCTATGTTTATACCAAGAAAATTCCCCATTTTTTGTTAATTCATATTAAAAGTCAACACAACGTTGACTTGATTTAAGTTTTAGTTAACTTTAGCTTAAACTAAGTCTCATCAAAGTCATGAAAATTTATATTATAATCTTTGGAAACCAAAAATGAAAAAAAGAGGAGAAATAAGAAATTTGTGTGGAATATTTTTGGTGGATTTCTTTTACATAAGGTTTAGTGATTTTTCAAAAGTTTTAATTAGTTTTTTAACAAACAATGGCAAAGCCACGGAGGCGCCCCCCCCCCCNCAAATTTTATTTTGGGTATGCAAATTACTAGAGATCGTCAGAGTTGTAGATTGTGGTTAGGGCAGAGAAAGTACATCGAGGAGGTGTTGAAGAAATTTAACATGGTAGACTGCAAACCTGTGAAGACTCCTATGACTTTGGGAGTGAAATTGTCTACTGATCAGTGTCCTAAGTTTGAGGAAGATGCTGAAGAAATGACACATGTGCTGTATGCGAGTGCTATAGTTAGTTTGATGTATGCCATGGTGTGCACGCGACCTGATATTGCACAAGCAGTGGGAGTTTTGAGTCGCTTTATGTCAAATCTTGGTAAGGAGCATTGGAGTGCTGTAAAGAGGGTTCTTAGATATCTGCGTGGGACCTCAGATTTATCATTATGTTATGGAGGCATGGCGACTGGGGATGAGCTAGGTGTGATAGGTTTTGTGGATGCTGATTAGGGAGGTGATCTCAATAGTAGGCGTTCCACAAGTGGGTATGTATTCTCTTTATTTGGTGCTGCTGTTTGTTGGATGAGTAAAAGGAAAAGTACTATGGCTTTGTCATCGACTGAGGCATAATACATGGCATTGACACATGCTAGCAAGGAAGCTATGTGGCTTCGAAGATTGAGTTTAGAGCTTGGTTTCAAGCTTGATGCTGTGAAGATTGGGTGTCACAATCAAGGGGCTATTTACTTAGCCAAGAATCCTGCCTTTCATTCGCTATCAAAACGCATTGACATACAATACCATTTCATCAGGCAAAAGGTGGAGGAAAAATTGGTGTTGTTAGAGAAGGTTGATACACTTGTTAATGCTGCAGATTTTCTTACCAAGGCTATGAGCTTAGCAAAGTTTACATGGTGTGTTGATGAGGTAGGATTTCATTGTGTGAAGTATTCGCCAAGTGGGAGAATATTGGAGTTGTCGACTACTTCAGCATTAATGGGTAACGCAGACGCATTCGAGGGTCCCGTAGGCGGTTTTGGGCTTTTCCAAGTATAACCGCTGTAGGATTTCTTTTAAGTTACTAATTCCTTATTGGGTTGGGCTTAGGAATATGAATCCTTGTAAAACTAGCTTTAGTCTCTTAAACCTAGTATATAAACATATTGTTCTCTTGTTATGGATGTGATAGCAAATCATAGGGCAATTTAGGGGTGAGCACGGGTAGCGGGTAGAACCGGAACCGAGGGTAAGAACCGGAACCGGAACCGGAACCTACCTAGAACCTGCACTGTGCGGGTAGGTTACGGTTCCAATTTTTTGGAACCGCTACTGTGCGGTTCCGGTTCCGGTTCTTACCCCCGGAGAAACCGGAACCAGAACCGGAACCTGTAAAAAGGGTACCCTGTTTGGAACCTGTAGGGGGTACCCGGTTTGAAACCTGTTTGGAACCTGTTTTGGAACCTATTTGGAACCTGCTTTGGAACCTGTTTTGGAACCTGTTTGGAACCTGTTTTGGAACCTGTTTTGGAACCTGTTTGGAACCTGTTTTGGAACCTGTTTTGGAACCTGTTTGGAACCTGTTTTGGAACCTATATTGGAACCTGTTTTTGGAACCTGTTTAGAACCTATTTTGGAACCTGGACTATAATGAAATTTTTGTGAATTTAAATACTTGAGGGAGTATTTCTATTTTTTACATATAAAAAATTTAAATAGAAAAAAGTTAAATTTTTACGCATAACCTAATTAAATACATAGACGATAAATTATACTTATTACATATAAATTACACATATTTAAGCTTTAATATAATTATAATACCATTATATGAGTTTTGAGGCATTTAAGTGAATAATTGGAATTGAGACCAATAAAAGGTTTTACATTTTTAATGTTATTAAAGAATATGTTTTGAATAAAATAGTATATTTGATTGAGTAATACATTATTTAGTTATTTTAGCTTTCATTATCAAGTTCTAGAGATATCTAATAATAAATAGTTAATTAATTAAATTTAGATGACTATTGCTAAACATTATAAACTTTAATTACTAGTTAGTATCATACTTAATTCAATGTATAACAGTAACAATAGTTAATGATACTTTATTAATTATATTTGATAAACATTACTTTAATTGATTTATAGTATAAATTAATTATAGCATACATTATTAAGTAACTACTTAATTAATTGACTTTATTAAAACATAGTACAAACTTAATAATATTAAAACTTTAATGTAATTATAATATACAGTAAATTTCTGTAGATTATTTAAGTAGTTAATCCCACTATAACATTACATATAATATGATTATTGATAATTATAACATTCCATAATAAATAATTACCTTAATTGATTATGAGTTATGATATATGTTTAACATCGTAGTAATTACTTATTGCTACATAAACTTACAGCAAATACTTAATTAAATGTAAGAATTAACTAATTATAAACATTACCTTATAAACATTTATCATTATAACATAATTAAACACTACAATTATACGTTAAATAATTACTCAATTAAATATATTATTATATTACATTAGATATTTGATCACTTACGTTAATTACTAGATGTACATAGTTTAATGATTATATAATTACATAATTAGTTATGAATTTATACATTACATTATAAACAGTAGTATTACTAATTTACTAGTATTAGTACATTACTTAATTAAACGATTAAAAATTTAATTAATTACTGAACATTACTTTATTTGTAATATTTACTTACTCAATTATAACACCCTTATAACAGTAGTATATTAATTAATATGATTGAAATTTAATTAATATAATATAATTATATATTTGTAGTATGATTTACTTAATTCATTATACCATTACATTATTACTATTTATAGTATGACTCATTAATATATATAACATTACTAATTAAATAATTACCTTAATGATTAATGGGTAAGATTTTATATATATTAAACATTAGTAATTCTAATTATACAAAACTTAGCACAATACTATAAATGACTGATAGAAATTTAATTATTATAATCATTACCTTAATAACATTAATGAGCATTCATTATAGTAATAATTACTACAACTTAAAATATAATATTATATATACTTATTATTGGAATCACTTATTAATTTAGCTTATATAGTTAAATGTACATACATTATTAATAGTCTATGAATTTATAACATGTACATATACACATTAGAACTCTACTATACTATTCATTCACTTAATAACGTATAAAATTAATTAATTATAACATTACTTTATAATTTTGTAATATGAATTACGTTATCAATTATAACATATCTAATAACATTAGTATATTAATTAATGATTGAAATTTAATTATTATATAGTAAATTATAGATTTGAGTATGATTCCTTAATTCATTATAACACATTATACTGTTATGTATGATCATTTAATTAACATAACATTACTAATAAATAATTACTTACTTTGATTAGAGTTTATGAATTATGATGTTAAACATTTAGTAATATACTAAT